CCTCTATTTGTAATTATTTTCATTTTGGGCCCTTATTTGTAATTATTTTCAGTTTTGGGCCCTTATTTGTAATTTCTCCTAAAAATTACCTCAATTCCATTTATAATAGGTTCACTAAGTGGGTATTCTGCATACATTAGTTCAAGCTACTTGCGAATTTGAATGTTGTATATATTGTTCTACTCTATATACAGACTAGTAGGATTCCAAAGAAAATAGCCAAGTTTTAAAATCAATTTTTATTCACAATATCTTGTAATCTTCTCTCCATCCACCGTCTTCACGTTGTTTAGAAATCACGAAGTTGCATGCTTTTTTTACATATTTGCTATTGCCAAAAAATGAATTTTTTTATAGTTTAAATTTCTAATGTTTATATTTATTAAATCTAAAAAATCATTCACCTAGTTTCATAGTTTTCTCCAACATTCGATAATTCTTGAATTGCAAACATTGTACAGTACTATATTTGAAACAATTATCTCAAGATCCAAGCTAACTGCTATCTTTACTTGCATACTATGAATATATTTCTCTGCTTTTGCACAAAACAAAAATTAGTTTAATCAATAATATTAATGTTTTGTCTACAATAAAAACTTAATATCATCAACATAATGATTTACGAAATCAAAATTAGAAAATATTCTTAAAGCAGTTATAACAGAACTTGTATATTTAATGTAAGTATGTTCAATAAAGGTATTTTCAAAAAATTCTGAAGGATTTATCAATTCCATCCAACAGTAACCATAAATACCTTCAAAATATGAATATCCGCCATTGGTATGTTGTCTTCTGATTAAAATATCGATTGTAGGTTGAATTCGTTTTTGATTAATTAATGGCTGCGTGTAACTTATATTATATAGAAGTTGAACGAAAGTAATTAGTACTGTTTGTAAAAGTATAGTTTAAAAGAATAGCTTAAAGGGGCTGGTAATCGTACCCACCCATTTGGGGACCGTCTAAAGCATCTTCCCCAGTATCGCCACCAAAATGTTACAGTCATGTAACTATCGAAAAATTCTTTAAGTTCGTTTAGATTAGGGTTAGGATCTGTTCTAAGGTTAAGATTAAAAAAGCATTAATAGTAAAATCTCTCAAGGAAAACTTTTTGTTAGAGCGTTAAAGGTTGTTTCTTATGCTAGTTTTTGAAAAACAAGCGATTTTTGACAAGGCGAACGTTTGTTTGAATTTTTCTGATTGTGTAATGTTACACCTAATCTTGAAATCTGATTTGTTTATGCCACAAAAATTGTCATGTGACTGCAACATTTTGGTGGTGATACTGGGGCATAGTAACGGGAAAAAATATTTTGGGTAATAGCAAAAAATATCTTTTATTGCGATATAAAATTTATCTAATTTCAATTACAATAGTGTTTATTTTTATCATATTTATTATTTAGTACATTTATTATAAAATATACCTATGATGGTTTGGCATCTAAAATTTTTAACACAAAATTTTTCATGTTAGGGTTAGAATTAAGGTTTGGGAAGGGTTTTTGGGGACGCTCTACGCCGATTAATTCATAGGTGTATGAATTTTTAAAGACAAATAAATCACAATAGTTTTTTGCACATAAAATTACACAAATAAATACACAAAGTGATTGGTGAATTAAAATAGCTAACCAATCAAATTTGCGAATTTTTGTATCATACATAAATAAAAGCAAAAATTGTTTTATAATATAATATTCGATAAAAATTGTGGTTTATTGTTTTCTAATCTTTTTACAATTTTTACGGGTCCTTGTACTCGGGTAGTTGTCTAAAGCTGGATAGTTATGTGACCACTAGCCACAGTGGCTAGTGTGGCTCATATTATTTAAAGCTAGGTAGTAATTTTCCAAAGAACACTACTGGGTAGGTCAATAGTACACCTGATGTCTGTGTGTTAATAAATTCTAAAACCTGATTGGCTAAATCAGGTATAATGTTTTAAAAAAAACAACTAAAACTAACATTTATTGGTGTAATATAAAAGCAAATATGTAGTTAAATTTAACATAGCAGGTTTTACTCGATTAGATGATCAGGACCCGGACATCTCTAATATATGTCATATTTTTTTTTCCAGTGAATTGTCAAAAATTTGGTCAAAGGTCCAAAGTTGAGTTTTAGCGAATTGACGTTAATTTTAAAATAGATTATAATTGACTATTTTGATAAATTACGTCAATTTTATACATGTTATATATTGTTTTCAGCAAATTATCTACATTTTGGAAAAAATTATACTCAAAAATAAGCTACTTTATTTTTTAAACCACTGTAGTTTTTCAAAATTCAAGA